GAAGAAGAAGAAGAAGAAGAGAACAACTGAAAAAGGAAAAAAAATGTACTTGAGAGAATCCCACCTCGTGGCGCAAAGGTCCGAGTAGCAGCGAAGGTCTGATCCTCTCGAAGGCCAGAGAGTCGCAATGGAAGAGGAGAAGAGATCGCGCAGGTTGCAATAGAGAGAAGAGGAGCCCAGGTTTGCAAAAACACCAAAAAAAAAACCTATTTTTTGCTTTTAATTATTAAATCAAACCTTTTATTATTAAAAAAACAAAAAAGGCAACGCATGTCGCCTCGCCTTGCCATGTCGGCTCTCGCCTTTCGGTCGCCATTGCTCGCCTTTCTGAAATCGCATCGCCACGCCTATAATAGGCGACGAGGCCTCACCTCTCACCTTTGGCGACATGGCGAGTGCCTTTCATAACACTAGTAACAACTGGAGTTTCGAGTCTTGGAATGAAATTCCATCAGTTTCATTCGTCCCGAAATGTGGAATTTGATCTAGGAGTGTTGTTGTTTTCTGTTTTGGAGTGGTTTTGTGGATTTGATGCCTTGAGTTAGAAGTTTAGATGAATTTAGACCTTAAGTTGACTTTGGTTAACGTTTGGAGTTCAGATGCTCGGATCATATTTCGACATATTCCATTGGATTCGGGGATGATTTTAGTCCTAGGTGAGATTTTGGCTGAATTTTCAGAGGTTTTGAGGATAGTTTGGTATTTTGAGAGTAAAGTTAGTTTATTGTGACTTTCACGGGTTTAGTATCAAGGAGACCTTAAATTCGTGTTTTGATGGTTCCATTGAGTCCGGGGCGTCAAGTTTAGTTGGGGAGCATATCCGGTTTGTGTACTCGGGGTTTCTAACGAATCTCTAGGGTCTATTTGATGTTTTGTAGTGTAGGTCATTTTGTTCTTCGCGATCGCATGGAGTTATTTTTGTGGTCGCCGCGATCGCGTGAATTCTATCATGATCGCGTAGGTCTACTTTTCTTGGTCATCGCGATCACGTCAAGCCTACACAATCGTGATGAGTAGGAAAAATAGACCTACACAATCGCAACAAAACTCACACGATCACAACGACCACAAAATAACTCCATGGAGTCGCAAATAACGAAATGACCTGCACCAGAAATCAACAATATCACACAAGGCACAAAATCACCGAATGGACCTCCGAGATTCGTTCAGAACCCCAAGTATACAAACCAGAATGCTCCCCAACTAAACTCAATGTCCCAAACTCAATGGAACATCAAATTCGAGGTATCCTTGATCCTAAACCCGTGAAAGTCGCAATAGCTTAACTTAACGCTCAAACATATCAAAATGCCCTTGGAACCTCTGAAAATTCAATCAAAACCTCACCTATGCCTAAAATTATCTCGCGAATCCAATGGAATTGTCAGAATTTTTATCCGAACTCCATATGTTGACCAAAGTCATTTCAAGGTCTATATTCACTTAAACTTCCAATTCAAAACCACTCTAAAGCAGAAAACGACAACACACCGAAACCACATTCCAGGACTGACGAAATTCCATTTCAAAACTCCAGTTGTCATCAAAAACCTCTTTTGACAACTTTAAACCTTCCAAAAAGCTATAACTTTTCAATCAAATTTCAAAACCAACTTCATAAACTGATCAAACATGAGTTCGGGCAACTATTGGGAGGGGTAAAACGGTAATTTTCCAAAAATGACTTTTCGGATCATTACACAAGTTCTTAGAACTCCATCTATGAGCTTAGCAGCCTGTCCTGATTCTTGGATAAAAGATGAGAATTGTGGTAGGTTGATGGTTAGTGTAAAAATTGTCTAAATAAGATAAACCCTCTGAATGCAGTCAAATTTGAGTGGAACGTACTGTATGGAGTGCAATGGATACAAAGATTTATATAACCAGTGTTATGAAAGGCGCTCACCATGTCACCAAAGGCGAGAGGCGAGGCGAGGCCTCGTCGCCTATTATAGGCGTGGCGATGCGATTTCAGAAAGGCGAGCAATGGCGACCGAAAGGCAAGAGTCGACATGGCAAGGCGAGGCGACATGCGTCGCTTTTTTGTTTTTTTATAATAAAAGGTCTGATTTAATAATTAAAAGCAAAAATTAGGGGTTTTTTGTGTGTTTTTGCGAACTTGGGCTCCTCTTCTCTCTATTGCGACCTGCGCGATCTCTTCTCCTCTTCCATCGCGACTCTCTGGCCTTCGAGAGGTCGAGACCTTCGCTGCTACTCAAACCTTTGCGTCACGAGTTGGGATTCTCTCAAGTACATTCTTCTTCTTTTTTTTCCTCCTTCAGTTTTCTCTTCTTCTTCTTTTGTTCTTCTTCACTTCTTCTGTTCTCTTCTTCTTCTCTACTCTGTTTTTCAAGCAGTGGTGCAGGGTTCTGTTTTTCTTTTTCAATTTGTAGCTATTGAACTGACTATCATTCTGTTTCTACCTATATTTTTTTTTTTTTAAAATCAATCCTTCTATATTTATTTCTTTCCAACTCAATTTTGTTTTATACTAATTAATATAATATTTGTTTGTCCATAAATAGTGGATTCAATGGCGTATGATGGTAACAAAAAGGACATTGGAGTATTGCTTTTAGAGTTCTAGTATTGCTTGTCAATTATCTTATGAATTATTGAGTCAAGTTCTAGACTTTCAATATCTACTATTAATTTTTGAATTGAAATATTTGCTAATGAATGTTATTGTTATTGAGATTTTGGATATTTATATATGCAATTAAATATTTTAAATTTTTGGTATTAATTGGCGCCTCGCCGCGAGGCGAGGCAGGCCCTTGTCACCTTTCGCCGTCCAAAACACTCGTTGTTAACCAAAAACCACTTTTAACAACTTTAAACCTTTCAATACTACAACTTTTCAATCAAATTTCAAAATCAACTTCATAAACTAATCAAACATGACTCGGGGCAACTATCAAAAGGGGTAAAATGATAATTTTCTAAAAATTTCCAAAAATGACCTTCCGATTCATTACATTATCCACCACTAAAAATCATGTTCGTCCTCGAACATAAAATAAAAGAAAGCATTTGAAGCCTTAAAAAGTTAGGGATATTTGGCACGCATGTCGGACTCCGTCTCCCAAGTCGCCTCTCCAATTGAATGGTGCTTTCACTGCACCTTCATCGAAGCAATTTCCTTTGACCTCAACTTTTGAACCTGCCTATCCAAAATAGCTATAGGTTCCCTCCTCGAATGACAAGTCTTAACCCAAAACCACAGAATCAAGTGAAATCACATGGGACTCATCAAGCACATCAAAGCATGGAGACATGGAAAACAGGATGTCCAGCATACATCTGACAAGCTAGGTGGCAAGGCCAACTTATAGGCCACCTCTCCAATCCGTCCCAAAATTTCAAAAGGCCAATGAATTTAGGACTACGCTTGCCCTTCTTCCCGAATCTCATCACACACTTCATAAGTGACAATCAAACAAAGCCCTTATGTCATTAAGGATAAAATTGTCAAAGAAGTGTATTTTTTATTTCCGAAATCTTTGATTTGGTCGTTGTTAGTTTCGAATTCTTATGGTGATTACTTATTTGAATAGATTGTGTAGATTTGGAGGCCCGAACAGGGAAAGCTCAAGTATCAAAGTGATTGTTTGATTTCTCGAGGAAAGTGGACTTCTTGACCTCTGTTAAGTATATAGAATCTCGTATTTCCTTATTGTATGTGTTAAGGAGTAATGGGAATTGGTGAAGGGGTGGTCACATGTACATATTGAATGATTCTAATGACAAAAAGGGGATATAAAAAAGTAACTTGATAATATATTGACGTGTGATGTGTTGTGAATGATTTGAGTGGTTATATTGACTCGTTATTGGTGATGTATCATGATTGTGTCAATATGCATTAAGTATTGATATGGAAAACATTATATTCTCATGATTTGTGTGAACATACTTATTTGCATTGGTTCTGATTTCTAAAACATTGTTATGAGATCTATTGTTGTGACTATGCCAATGGAAAATGGTTTTGGCGATGCCGATGGGAAATGGTTCTGGTGAGACCAATGGAAAATGATTCTGACATTGATGATTAAGCCAATGGAAAATGATTTTGGCGATTAATGATTATGTCGATGGGATATAGTTTCGATGGACATGGACCTTGTGAGCCCCCCATGGGTTCCGACCTGATATTAAATGGATTGTATCGTTAGGACAAATGCATCACTATATTTGACATTTCATTTCATTGCATTGCACATCATTATCTTTATGAACCTAATGAGTGCTTGTTATGGAATTTATGATCGATGAACTTGGACTTCTATATTTGGTGACCTGTATATGTTGAACAGTTGAAGTGTTGTTATACGTGTTATGTGCTTTATAATTGTGAATTGTTAGGTTGGGTTGATTTTGTACAGGTTGTAGTTGTGGAATTTGGTTGGAGTGTTGGGAATACATGTATTATGTGTTGCTTTACCTTGAGTTAGACGTTTACTTGTTGAGTACCGTGTTGTTGGTACTCACTCCCTTGCTTCTACACTTGTGTAGGTTATGAGTTTGGATCATGTTGATTATTCTCTCCTCCCTTCAATGTATGAGGCTTATTGTGAAGAGTTCTGAGATAGTTGTTTGTCATCTCGGCAAACACCTCTTACACCATTATTATGTTCTTGTTCTATTCTAAAAACAATGACATTAAGACTTGGATTTCTTTCGAATCTATTGTATTACATTAGAGGCTTGTACACGTGAGTCGTGACAACCAGATCTTTGGGGGGTTATAATTGAGTTATGTTATGTTTCTATATATTTGAGATTATTATGATATTATTTTGTTCTGCTTTACTTCCGCATTTATCCTTTATGTTAGGTTTTAGGCTGACTTATCTTGGTAGGTTAAGACAAGTGTCATCAAGTCCGTTTTTGGGTTGTGACATTCTGAGAACATAGCAAGAAAACCATGCACTACGTTTGACAAACAGATAAGCAGGGATGTGCACTTTCATTTAAGAGGTATATATACTTACTCGAGGATTCGAGATATTTATTTTCTTGTGCTTAAGACCAACTTGAAGCCCCAATTCTTCTGCTACAGTAGAGAAACCCTGCATAAATCAACCTTTATAGACTAGAAAAGGAAAAAGTAGAAGTAACAAAATATAAAATTCTCCTAGGTTTCTCTCATTGATGGCATTTGTTGCATACCTGAAATATCTGCTGTATGTAGGCATTTTCTGGAGGTTTAGAAACATGAAGATGTAACTGATTTCCTAGGGACCCAACATTATTCAAGCAGATGGCATAGTCTATACTCTCACGTAGACGTTGGTCAAAACTCCGAAGCCACTGAAGAAAGCTTAAACAATCAAAGGACAGAACGAGATAGCTATGACTTAAAAGAAAAGGACAAAAAATTTGGGAAGGACTGGTGCACCTTTTGAGTTCCATTGTAGTTATACGGGCCACCAGATGTCAATCCAAAGAGTAAGTTATATCTACCTCTAGTTTTAGGATTTGAATACAGAACAGAAAACAATCTAGCTATTTCAAGAAGTGCCACTACACCACTTCCATTGCTGTCACTTCCCACCGACAATGCCTGTAAATTCAACAAAAGAAAAAAGTAATTTAAAATCATTTATTATTAAAATGACGGCTCAAAACTTAATAGAGTAAGTTATTATTTACCGGAGCAGCCCCAAACGTGTCATATGAAGCCACTATGGCAATAGTTGGTAGCTGATTCGAGTCTCCATCAACTTTAAGCCCTGGTAACCATCCCTGATATTTAATAAAAGTACTAATAAATGAACTTTCAGATAACAGTCTACCATATTGATTATTTAAACTATCTAATAACCCCTGCCCATTATTTTTAGAAATTAATCTGCATAAACATTAGGATTGTGGAAACACGAAACAGAAAAATTTTTGACTCAGTACAATAGGGAAATACATCCATATATACTTAAATTGATTTCATCACTAAAATAAGAATAAAGTAATTAAATGTGTTAAGCTTGATTCCAATAACTATTATAAGTAAAAGAAGAGTTCCAAGTACTGAATTGATTCGCCTGACTACATTATAAGGAAAACTATGTATACAAAAACAAGTAAAGTTAAGTGCATACAGATTCATAAAATTTATTGCTACCACGCCTCAGTCCCAAACAAGTTGGGTCGGCTATATGAATCTTCATTGATCATGTTTCTCCTTTTAAACTCGTGTCATGCCATACAACAACAACAACATACCCAATGTGGTGTGTCATGCCATAATCATACCAAATAGAAGTATAAGACTATAAGTGAAAAACTAAAGAAAAAAAAAGAAAATGATAAAATTCCTTGCACCTAAAATGATTTTACTGCTAAAATAAGAAAACCGAATAATTCAATATACTAAGCTGGTCTGAACAGCAATTCGAAGGAAACAAAAACAGTTGCAAGTATTGAATTGATTTGCTTTTAACTATTATATCAAAATCGAGTATAGAAATAGAAAAAACTTCAGTACACATAAATATTCAAAAAGAAATTCTGAGCGCTCAAAAAAAAGAACATAACAATTATGATGAAGAAATTAAAGGCAAGACTATATGTAGCCCCCAAGGAAAACTCACTTTTAAACCTTTAGTTCCATCAAATGCTAATTGTAATAATGCAAGTGACAGTTGTACATAAAAAGTTACTATCGATAGTTTGAGTGTTTGACAACCATGAAACCTGTCACTTCAAATTATTCTATCCAAGTCCCATAACATCTTATAAGAAGTGACAACAATCTATAGCTTAAGGGATTGATGGAGAAAACAATTCAAAGAGTACCAACAAAGTTACAAGCTTAGCTATCTAAGATATTATTACCTCTGTCTCATAACAGATGATCTACCATGTGCATCAATTAAAGCAGTAGTTGGTTGAAATATGTCAAATCAAATTTTAAATGATCCAAATGTAGCATTAGTTTATATAATTAATTTGTTTAAATAAAGGTATATGCATTGTTGGAGAGAGATAAACTTGTTATTTATACAAAACAGATAAAGAGTTTTTTGAGATGGATGAAGGAAGCAATTTAGAACTAAAACTTTAGGCAATTAAATTACATCAACATTCCTAGCCAAACATCAATTCAAGAATTCTAGTAAATCCACCTGCTCCTAATTTTAAGAAAAAAGGTGAACTAGAACCTGAATATTTGCAATGTTTGGGGGCGCAATTCTCTTGGGATCTGAGGCAGCAACAACAAGCTTGTAGCTGTAGACATGTGAGTAACTGAATCATTGGCAGGACATTTACCCCAATAGAGAAAAAAAAGAAAAAAACGAGCAGATGTTCAAATTCATATTGACATCCAATCTCAGAAAGGATACCTCAAGTCCCAATAAAGGAAAAAAGAAAAAAAAAGTGCAAACCTTTTAAAGATTGGTTATTTCTTACGGATCTCTTTGTTCATCTTGCAGTTCTAAAAACATGAAAGGTAATTAAGACTTTAACTGTCATAAGTCCTATGCAATGTCAGGTTCTTCTGATTCTCACATTCATATCATGTGCTTTGCAAATACAGAATATCTGGACAAATAAAATTAGAGACAAGTTGGAAGATTTTATTAGGAATCGGCACTACAATGGACTAAGGAATATAAGTTCTGAAAGCTATTACTGGTCTCTATGAATGAATAATGTGTACTCCTGATTATACATATAATGTAATTGCAGGTTGTCGTACTTTCTGGAAGAGGCCAATGTGAATGTGCTTGAATTGATGAAGTGTATTTGGATCTCACTATAGTTGAAGCGTGATGACAGATAATCCTCTTGAGTGTCTGTGACAATCCGTGAAGAAACAGTGAATCAAGTCTTGAAAGATGATAGTATATGACTAACACAATGATCAAGTGTTGGAAGCAGGTAATATTTTGAAGAGAAAAATGAGCACATTTATTTTATTAAGTTTAAATACCTACAAAAATAGTACTTTTGAACCCTTCGGGGTGGCCCAGTGGTTTGGGCTTGGGACTTCCATGTTGGAGGTCTCAAGTTCGAAACTCCTTGCCAGCGAAAGCAAGGGGTTTGCCTTCTGGGTCGAGCTCGTCGCACCAGGCTTGCCTAGTGCGGTTTACCTCTCCTATGTGGTTTGCGAGCTATTGCATAGGAGCGGGGGTTTTACCCTGTGCGCACCCAAAGGGTAGCGGCTGCGGGTTTCCCTTGTCATCAAAAAAAAAAATAGTACTTTTGATGTAGTAAAACACATTAGATCATATACTCTCATCTCTCAACACTTGATTCACTGTTTCTGAATACTTTGGACTCAATGTCTATAAATGTTGCTCATCATTATATTTTACTAAGAAAGAATATAAAACCAACCAATCTCTAATGCCGAACTATATTGGCACCATACGCTTTGAATTTCTTTGCTCTCCTATCTTTATTAGTGCTTAAATGTTTTTAATTAGTTACCAACTTGTATTACTTGAACAGAGAGAGGGAAGTAAGAAATAAAACATTTTAAAGAGAAAGAGGAAGTATATTTTCACCGGTACATGTTGCAATACAAAATGGTTTATCTCCACACGACAAAATAAGTGAATACAAAATAAAGATCCATCATAAATTAAAACATAAAACCTATTGCCTTTGAATTTAGGGATGAAAAAAATTTCACAAGAATTTAGCTTTTCATTATTTTTTATTTCAGAATATTAAAATGGATTATTCTTAAGTTTAATAAGGTTAATCACTACCGAGCGAAGCGCGGGCAATTTATCAAGTTCAAGAACAAAATTGAATGGAATCTTTTAACTGTATGATAATGATTAAAGATGACTTAAGAAATGCACAAGGATTTCTATCCTAGATGAATTTTGTCCAGACTATGTTAAGAGATCTCTAGATTACATTATAATCTTTTAATGTTAAGGCATACATACGCCAAATGGAAGAGGCAACTCTTCTCTTAAAAACAAAAATGGCATTTCAACTTACCCGCCTGTAGTAGCTGTTGCAGGTTGACCACTAGCATCATTTCTCTTAATTTCAGCTAATACAGCATTGATATTATCATCCTCGAAAGCAAAATATACAGGATACTGGAGCATAATTTCAAAAGATTGAAAATTTACTATTTTGTCATAGACGATAAAAAATGAAACAATTCAAGATGAAGGATATGCACATAAACTAGAACTCTCATTCAAACAACAGAAGTAAGGCAATTTCAGTACCCTCATTAAGCAAAGATAAAACTATCTCAACGGAAAAAGTGACTAGTACTAATTTTTGTCTTTCCTTGGAGAGGTATCACCACTGAATTTAAACACACTCATAGCTCACAATGTCAAATAGTAACTAAAATAGCTCAAGTTGCTCTTCATCACTGTGGGGAAGGACGAACCAATTTGCAAATAATCAAAAGGTTGGACTCAAGGGCAGCCACTTTACAAAAATGTTTATTGTTTAATCTCATCATTAGCCAGCAAAGGGAACTTCAAAAGCAATTTCCAAAAGATAAACAGAAAAAAGCATTTCCCTCCATTCAGCTCTGAAACAGTCTGCAGATATCCATGCTCTTCCTTGATTGAACTCTTTTTCCTTCTTTAGAAGCTAACATAATCAATCTTTCAGCATTTTCTTCTACCAACTAAGGAATCACAGTAATGACTCGTTTAGTTTAGATTATATATATTGTCATATTATTCGACAAAAGTGATTGTAGGGAACAAAATTGTCATTTAAGAATAATGACCTTTATGGCACTAATAGTTGGTTACAAGTTCATGAGATCGAGTTTTGCATGCAGTAACCAAACATCAAGTACGACTAAACAAATTATTAATAAAAAACTATAATTAATTCAGGTAAGATCATCCAACCCAACAAGCACTAGACAAATGAAACTCATGTAACATGATGAATGATGTGCTCGTGCATAATATGCATTGTAACAGAAAGATATTCCAAAAGAACAAAACAGCATGGAGGATTAACTTCACTCACAGGGATATTGGAATGTGTAAGCAGCCATTCCAACTCGACCAATTTGTTCCTCAAGCTGTCAATATCCTCATCAGCACCAAATGTGCTGCCTGTGTTTTCTGGTCTAAATTTTGGGGGGAGTAAAAGCAGCAAACCCCCTAATAGCTTTTTCTGTTCAATATATTCTGCAATAAGAGCCAACAGGGAGGGCAAGCCCATCAGAAGACAATCTAACTGCATATTGCATGAGGAACAGAGAGTCGGCCTTTAACATGATCATCACAAGCAAGGTTAGTGATATCTCAAGCAAGGAGCAAACTAGAAAAGTAATAAAATCGTAAATATGGAAACACCACCTTCCACACCTTCCTAACCAAGACGTGGACTTTCCACTTATGCTCCCTTTGGTGACACAAACCACCAACCAAATTGTTTGAAGTGGAGGGTATCCTTATCACTATGCTATCCCTCTGTTGTCAATAGTGACATAATCTATAGTCTGACCATATTTCTTACCTACGAGTGGATAGTTCCATTACCTTCCCAAAAAACATAATCAGTAATAGAGTCCTATATTTGGCACATCACAGAATTGATTACAGAATCTGCATGAGCATAGACTACAAAATTCAAAGAGAAACAAATTTCTTGACTAACATTTGAAACTTCACAAGATTCCCTAGGGATTATTCGGTAGGCTGCTACATTCCATTGCATAGAAGCTCACTCGATAAATTGAGTTGAGCATTTAGCCTTTCAGTTATAATTCCAAGGGAATTTATTCAAATGTTCTCCTATAGGTGTGCTGTGTGCATGTGCATATGCATAGTTAACAATTAGAAAAATCATAATTTTTTATCAAGTATAACGCAAATCATAATAGATAAAGACAAACAACAACATCCAGGGCTATCAAAAGCAAAAAAGCTCTATGATCCGGTGGGGCTTCAAGCGCAAATAAAGCGTGGGCTTCAATGAAAAAAGGCTCAAAGGGGATAAAAAATATAAATTTATATGGTTAGTCCAAGACTAATAATTATAAGCACGAATGACAAATATATGACAAAGAAATTTCAAAAAAAAAAAGGATATAGTGAAAACTGAAATATCAATTGTTTAGTATCTCTTGTTTAGAAGAAGCTAATTGGCAAAGAAAAGTATGTCTTAGAACCTTAATGATGATACTGAAGCGATTAAGCGAGACGAAGCGCTTAACACATTTTGAACCTCGCTTTAGGGCTTAAATGTGCTTTAAGCGCGCCTTTGACAACACTAACATCAGATTTTTTAGTCAAAGAATCCATTTCTTAGGACTTCACTTGATGGTTGATACAAGCATAATCAAAGGCGCGCTTAAGCCATGAAGCGAGGCTCAAAACGTGTTGAGCGCTTTGCCTCGCTTAATGTGCACTTCAGTGTCGTCATCAAGATTCTAAGACATATTTTTCCTTTGCCAATGAACCTCTACGGAAGAGACGACACTAAACAAGTGATATTTCACTTTATCGTAATTACTTTTTAATTTCTTTGTTCATATATTTGTCATTCATGCCTATATATTATTAGTCTTGGACTAAACTCATATATTTGTATGTTTTTTCTCCCTTTACGCCTTTTCTCATTAAAGTCCCAACAGACCTTAGAGCTTTTTTTGTTTTTTTTTGCTTTTGATAACCCTGGTTGATACTCCAACTTTCATAGCCAATAAGTGTAACAACTTCAATTGTTGGTTGCTACACCAACTTCATCGACCATAAGTGTAACAACAAACTAATCTTTATACCCAACGAGTCTGTATCACCTAATATTTTGTATCACCTAATTATTTTTTATCAAGTGAGTCTGGGTCACCTAGTTAAAAAAGAAAGCAAGAAGTTCAAGATAAAAATGAAATTCAGAAGAAGTAAACTAAACTGCATTTTCAACAAGAGTCAGTTTCCTAACTCAAAATTATCCCTATTCGCACCTAATGCAAGTAGAATAACAAACCTAGCTTTAACCCCAATTATTTTTTTTCCTTTTCAAAAAAAATAAATATCCCTAACGATAATGAAATTCCAAAACAATATGTCATTGTAAGCGTTGTTGTCAAAGGTGTGCTTAAGTCCTGAAGCAAGGCTCAAAAGGTGTTGAGCGCTTCGCCTCTCTTTATGTGCACTTTAGTGTCGACATCAAGGTTCTAAGGCATACTTTTCCTTGCCAAATTACAAAACATATATATTTATATATTTTTTTCTCCCTTTGAACCTTTTTTCATTAAAACCCACGTTTTATTTGCACTTTGCCCTTAAAGCCCCAACAGACCTCAGGAATTTTTTGCGCTTTTCTCCTTTGATAACACTGATCATAAGAACAATGTTTTTAAAAGGAATAAGGGAAATGGAATTTGAAAAAACATTAGAGATCAAGCACTAAAATAACCAAATGCCAATCATACATGAATTTAGTATAATAATAATCAAATTGCAATTAGATAAACTAATTTCAGCATTCAATATATAATAATGTCAATATTCCAACTCGTCAAAGTTGATATTCAAAGAACCACTGTTTTTTCTGTTCGATAACTTTGTGATATATTATTTGAAAGCGCATGGCTTTATCAATGATAACCCCTTGCTTGGATTGCTTAAGCGCTTTAAACGACAAAGCAATGACTTCTAATAACACTCTTGTACGTTATGTTTTTCCCCCTTAAAAGTCACCTTCAGAGTCTGGGGTTACGCATGACCCCTACCTCGTATATTAATAGCCAATAACAAAACACATGTACATGAGGTATGAAATGCCTTTCCTCTTCCTTTTAAGGCAAATCGAAACTCTCTTAGTGTAAGTAATAAACTAACGTTTAATCCAATGAATCAGTATTTCCTAGTTGAAAAAATATTTAATACTTCGAAGCAGTAAATGAAGTCCTACTAGACTTAACATAGAAGCACAACAACTAAACTTTAATCCTTATAACTATGGTGTTTGGATCAACTTGTGCGAACCTCCACTAGCCCCAACTTATTTTTGGCACCAAATCTAAAAAAACAAATCTTTTGATGAAAATGAAATTCAGAATCAGTAAATGATAACCACATCATTCTCTAAAATCTAACACATATCTTCACCTGAACCAAACATAATCATAGCAACAACTAAGCTTTAATTCGAGCTAGTTTACATATCAGGAAATGAAGTTATTGAGCAGTAATCGGAGCCGAACCTGTAATGAGAGTGAGGTTCAATTCACGAACTGGAAGAATGAGAACCGTACGGGAAAGATCAGAACTAGAGCCAGAACCAAAAAACGATGAGCCGGCGTGATGATTAAGAGTAGCGAGCCGAGAACCGAAAGGTACGCCGGAGATATCATATTGAACAAGCCGGTAAACATCAACGGCGGTAACGGCGTCGGAAAGTTCAACACAGGCTATAAGTGCGATGAGTAAAGCGATGATAGGGTAGTACATCGGGTCTAATATCGCCGGTTTTCTGAAAGAATTCGCCATTGATGAATTGATAGTGTTGTTAGGGTTTTGCAGAAATATAAATGTTGGATTTGAATCTGGAAAATATAATTGATGAAATTTTTATTTATTTATTTTTCACCAATTTGATTCATAAATTGATTCAGAAAATATATGTTAAAATAATGTTTTGACAGTTTGTATATATACAATTTAAAGTAGTATTAGTTTGAAGGTGAAAATGATGAAGATTTAAAGTGTTTTTTTTTTTTTTGAAAAAAAAAATTAATATGGAGTATTAAACATTGGGTGAGGTATAAATAAAATTATTAAATATACTTCGAACTAAAAAAATTGCATTCATGTATTTATGTTTTTGCATTAATTAAAGTTTGATTTATTGAAGCATATAATATTTCAAATGATCCTATAATATAATGATAGCTATGATATGGATATGAGCAATTTATAGCGCAATAAGCCAATAATTCATATTTTATTAGTTATATTAAATTTAAATTAAATGAGATGAGTGTAAGAGATTAATATCATTTTGGTTAATTACATAGAAATATTTGATCGAGAGGATCATTGAATTACGTTTTTTTAAGTACTTTTATTTTAATAGGCACTATCACTGTACTTTCAAAAAATATCTAATTTTGAAAACAATACTTGCTCCTATTCATATGTACTATAGATTTCTCTTTACAAATTCAAATGCAAGAATAAATAATATTTTTATCTTATCTAATTAAATTCTTCGAGAACAAAACTATATAACCAAAAAAAAAAAGGGAAAAAGAAGTCAAAACAAAGCAAGAACAAATTTCTATATGCAGAGATTAGTCATTCCTAATTTGATGCATTCAAATGAACTCTAAAAGGCCTTACTTAATGATTTTGGAAAGGAAATTAAGCAAATATCTCATAAAAGTAAAATAATTACAAATATATGCTTCTTTATATTCATACTCTACTAAATAATTACATTAGATATTCCTAACTAATTTCGCTTAACTGATACTAGATCAGTATAATACACTGTATTGGTATCATTTAGGCTGATATTTTCTCTTAACTCATACTAAATTAGTATCATATACTGTATTGGTATCATTAAGGCTGATAATTTCGTTTAATTGATACTAAATCAGAATATACTGTATTGATATCATTAAGGTTTTTTGTTTAGAAATTATTCATTAGTCAAAGATACTATATGTAGTTTTTTCTTAGAAATAGATTAATTAATTATTAAGTGAAGACTAAGACTTAAAAAGAATTTCAAAATTTATATTTATTAATGAATTAATAGTTGTCTATGTATTTTTAATAGTAGTGAACTAGTGATCTTTTGAGTGTTTTGTCACAGTTTAAATACTTATTATATTTGAACCGTGACAATTTGTAAGAAGTTTTCAGATGATAGAACATTTGAAATTAGACAAAAGCAGAAAAGATAAGCAATTTTACCACTTTTTGAGTTGGGATACTTTCTCTTAAATATTATTTTCGTGAATAAAAGTGATTATATATCAATTAATTTTGACTTTGTTACTTATTTTCAATTTATAAACAGTCCCAAAAATAGCTATTTTTAAAAGGATAAACTACCTTATTAGACATACATTACTACTATATATACTAATATTATTTTTACTTTTAAACGATTACATATATTACCACTTTTAGTATTTTATACCATATATTAATATATTATTTGAAAATACTATTAGATACCCACATTCCTTAAAACTATTATTGATTAATTATCTGCTTAAATAACTTTTTCACTCCAAATCAACCACTATCTCTTAATTCTCCCCTCCCATGTTTATCACTCAATTATGTCTCCTCCTTTCTGATTCAAGAATTTCACCTTACAATTTCATTTTAACAATAATTAATCTACTCTCTTCTTCTCGAGATATCATCACCACAAATTCTCCTGAACCCAAATATCATTTTGTATTGTTCATTTATCACGAGTTCCAATCACA